CTGACTTAGATATAATATAAAAAAATGTTAGGGCAGTATCTATCAAAGAGTTGAATTATTTGTACAAAAAAAAAAGTACAATACGATACTTGTTCTGACTTGGATAAAAAAGTTAGAAATCAGTATCTAGTAAAGGGTTAAATTATTTATGATAAAAAAGATACAATGCAATACTTGACCTGACTCTAAATATAATGTAAATAAAGTTTAAATTAGTATTCTATGAAAATTAAATTATTTATTCAAAAAAATGCAGCACAATACTTAACTTGAAGAAGAATTGATGAAATGAGTATTAATGCACATTTAACCTTATTTGGTAAAGTTTTAATTATTTGTATAGAAGAAAATTATTTATACAAATATCAAAATTTATATATTCAAAGTATTGTATAAATAAACTTTTATAAATAAGTACCGTCAAAGAAAAACCTATCAATTATATTTTGTGTGCAGTTAGTCATCTATAGAAAATCTATCATAATATATTTTTCATAGATAGCTAACTGTACACAAAATATAATTGAAAGTTCGATAACAGGTTTTACTTTGATGGTACTTATATATATCACAAGTTAAATAAGATTAAACTTCAGATTAATACAAGTATATGAATAATGTTCTCTCAAGATAAGATCTAGTGAATATTTTTATTATTAGCCTTATAACAAAAATAAGTTGTATTTTCTAATAAGTATTAAAATCATATCATTACTAACAATTGGATAATTATATTATTTTCTTATCTAAGTAAATGAGTTATATCTTATTTAACAGATGTAAAAAAGTATTTTATATATGCAATATCTGATAGATAAATGATAAATGACAAATTAACAAAAATAAAAAAAACAACAATTGAAAAAAATAACTTGTCAAAAAAAATGACAAAAAAACTCATCAAAAAAATGACAAAAAAAAAAAACTCAAAACTCAAAAATGACAAAAAAAAAACTTAAAAAAATGACAAAAAAAAAAGAAATAGAAAAAATAAAAAAACCCCCAAAAAAAAGGATTAAAAAAAAAAAAACATCAATTTTTTAGAATGAAATATTATACGCAATTTCACACAAATAATCCATGAGAGGTTTATTTTGATGATTATTAAATACTATTTGAATATATTGTTCACACTTAATAGTATATCTTTTGAGAAGGCCTTGGCACACTTTGCATAATAGCTTTGATGTTAAGCTGAATCTGGTTTTGCTCCTTCTGAATTTCTCTTATAGTTTTAAAAACTCCAGCATATGCACAACCTATCAACATGCTCCATCTTCTGTGTTATGCTTCAACACAATTCTGCATCCTGAGAAAGGCAAGTTCAATGTTATCAACTACTGACCACAAGTTAGGCAGAAATGAGGGCTTGGACCTAACTATGCTTCTGTTTCTATGTACACGCTTTACTTTGCCATGCACATAATTGTCCTGAAATCATTAAACAATATCTGGTAGAAGGTTAGTTTTTAGTTCGTCGAATACTTAAGGTATTTTACTATAAGGTAAGAATGTGAGAGCAGAAATGTGTCTTATAAGCAAGCTAAACTCTTCATTGGTTCCATAATATACAGTGAGCCTAGCTGTTTAGATTTTATAGTAAACACTTTGTGCCAAGTGAAAGTGATAGCCCTTGCATTGAACATCTTCAAACTCTAACTAGATAGCATTTATTGCAGCAGATTTAAAATTTGTCAAAACCATTTGTGGGAGCAAATTAATACTATTCTCTTCAGCAAAATCTACCAAACCTTGAAACACTCTTCTATAAAGCTCTTTGGTCTTGCTAGTTATCAAAACAAAAACCAAAAGCATAATTCTTGAATTATTACTTCTGCCAATGCATCCTAAACAGAATTATTTATATTGTAATTAAAATATAGCACTATTGTAACAAATTCACACAATTAAATTGCAATTGTGATTTTTATAAATTCTTAAAATAGTGAGTGCAGATATTATTTTAAATTTTGTCCTGAATTAAGTTTAATTCAGAACAAAATTTTATATAATGCTCGCACTTGCTATTTCAAAAATTTACAATAAAAAAATAATAAATGTAAAAAAAATATCAGATATATACCATGAATTGTGTATAATTGTCTAAACATGATAGGGACCATTTTAAAGGTTCTGTCCATGGTCCAAAAAGGAGATTGATTTAGATAGTGCATATTGTCAACAGTTGTAAAGATTAGAATTCTATCTTGATCTATATTAGTATTATTAATTAAAAAATTATACCTATTTAAAGTTGTTTTCATATTTTGAGGAATAACTAAACTTTCTAAAGATGGTAGTTCAGTGAGAAGATCAAAGTGCCAAATTTTCTAGATAGTTTGGCAAATTGTGTTAAAAGATAGAAGATATTGGTACACAAAGTGGGTGCTATCGGTGATAGCATCTTGTGCTATTCGTGAGAGTCTGTCATTAGTTTGTTGTGCTTTTTCTTTGATTTTGGCAATTGTTATTGCAACATGTGACCAGCTCACGTCCGCTGCATGGTTGTAGTCTGTCCAACTTTGAAGATAATGTTTATCATTAACTAATTTTGTTATAGCATGCCCACTACATTGAAGTAATTTTTTCTTTTCGCAATTCTAATAGAATACATTTCTTCGACTTTTATCTTTAGTCATTAAATAGCCATAAATATTAATTTTATTTTTGCTACAAGTAGACGGATTGACTTCATGGATGACATTATTCATTTTGATATAAAAAAACAACTGATAAATTATACTCAATAAATTTGACAAAAGGTAAATAAGTTATAAGTTTCAATTGCTTCGTGCAAATGGACTATTTGTATGAATTTATTAAATGCATTACTATAATAATTCATGATAGAATTTTAATTTGTACCTGAAGGAGGTAAAGCAAATACCCACACATGAAAATCAACGATTTAATTTTAAAGTATTCTATATGAGAGCATATGAAAAAGTGAGTAATATAAAATAATCAAAGTATTATAAAAAAAAATTAATTTGTACTCAAAAGAGGTAAAGCTACTAATATTGCACTCACATGTAAAAATCAATGATTCAAATTAAATATATTTTATACACAGATATATGAAAAATAGAAATCTAAGTAAGAGATGATAATACAACCAGAATATAATAAAAAATCTTACATGTTGCATATAATAAGAGAAACCACTAGTATTAGCTATGAAATGATTAAACACTTAAACCAATACTGCATAAATACTGCTTTTACTATACTTTTCAACTGTTGCTTATTTCAAAACACAATACTCAAGCTATAAAAACATAGAATATATCTTATTTCTAAAAACAATGCTTTTGATGAAAACCTAAACCTTACTTAACTAATTAGTCTTATTGAACACATTAGGAAAATATACACTAAAATCATAACAAACAGACTTAATCAAGTCTTCTTCCAATATCCTATTCTTTTATCTTTTAATTATGTTGTTTTACCAGGCAATAGTATACCTATCCCTATCCACATCCTTAACAACCTTATTGAAGATGCTAACTATAATTATAAAGAGCTTTGGCTACTATTGCAAAATATGAGCAAAGCTTATAATTCAGTTAACTTTAACCTCTTCAAACACTCTCTCTGTTATCTTTCCTTACCACAAACTATCATTAACATTCTTACTAATTTACTTATTTACTGCTATAATAAAGTTATAATCAATTTTGGGCTAATTTTTTTATATCAAATTCAAAATAGTATTGACTAAGAAAAGACTATTATTACCTACTTATTACATATATACACTCTACCTTTACTGGCTATACAACTTCAATATTATAGCCAACCAATCTCAAAAATCATTTATTTAACAAACTTGAAACTAACTATTCTGTCTTGGTCTATATGAATAATACTTTGTAGATTGCATCAAGCTAAACATAAATAACAAACATTCTTACTATTGCTAAATTCTTTTACAACATAGCAAATATCCAAGTTAACTCATTTAAATCTATTCTATTCCCTAACACCAAATCAACTCCTACAATCCTATCATATTTGACAATGTAACACTTCCTCTCTGGCCTATACACCAGCCTTTTAAATTCTTAGGCTGCTGGTTTACACTCAATAACAAGCACACTAAGCAAACCCAACTTATTCTGGCCAAATCATCTCAACTTATCAAAATTGCTAACACCAAACAAATAACAGATACTCAAGCTCGTTATATTATAAACATTGTTATTATTTCTATTTTAGATACAGAATATATAACATTGTTTTTAATCAATCTTCATACAACAAAATTTTCCAACAATATATTAATTTTATTAAACACAAAGCTAAGCTCTGCCATACTATACCTACTAGCATTTTATTACACCCTTACATATTCAATATTAAAAATATCTAGGATATTTAACTTCAACATCATATTCCAAACTTTATCAAATAGCTTAATAACAAATCTCTTCTAGGCATCTCTACCCAAATCAGAATTCAACAACTTCAAAATAATCTCTAGTCTGCTACTAGCATTCTCTCTCATCCAAATTCTATTATTAATAGCCCCAACTGTCTTACAATTAATTTTAAAATAATATAGCTTCTTCAATATCTAAACTGAACTATTAGTCCAAGTTTAGACAAAACATTCTCTTCACAATTTATAAAGGATCTATTATATTAGAATCTATACTATTAGCATACTTTAAATGCTCTACTTTCAAAAAACAACTTTGATACCACTATATTTTTTTTCTTAGATCAATTTACTTCTATTAATAACTCCTACCTTCTAGACTAAAAACATATATCTTTAAGACTTAACAATATTCCTAAAGGGAAAATTCCTCAATAGTTTATATTTCTTAAAAATTCTATCTTTAATTCTTCTCACAACCACCTTATTTCTAAACAGCTTAATCTACTATCTACTAACTACTATAGCTACTATACAGATTATTTTCACAAATATTCCAAGCTCTGGCTCTTAACTTTTTACTATAACCAAGCTATTATTGGCAAAGCTTATTACCAATATACAAACTATAGCTTTATACTAATCACATATTGGCAATACAACCTCCTAACTATTTCTCTTAATTATACCCTATTTCTAATATTATTTCAAGTCTATGCTTTAATTGTTCTCTTAATTCTCATATTATCAATAGCAAATGCACTTTTTTTATTTCAACTAGTTATACTACCAAGTTTTTAGGCAGACTAAATCCAGACAAATTCGTTAATTTTAATATAAACTCTCTTGACCTCTTAGACTCAATCAAACTTAAAGATACTACTCAAACTTTAGCTTTTCTAAATTTCTCAATACTTACTTCTCAAATTCCTCCAATTTTTGCAAATAACATTGCTTTTAACACTCTTTAACACAGTGTTGTTCACTGGAATGTTCCAGTGGGAATTACTAGAACTGGAAGATCACTGGACTTAACTAGATGGAATTGGAAGCATTATTGCCTCCAATGATCGAATGTTGCTGGACTATTCCAGTGAAGATTTTTATCACTGGAATGGAAGTTCCAGTGATGTAGTAACTTCCAGTGGCTTCTGATTGGCTGATTCAAATTAATCACTAGGGATAGTGAGCAAAGATTAAACGGCATAAAATTTAAACTACCTGTTTATACAACCGTTACCAGATCACAAACAGGATCATTTCTGATAACCAGAATAACTTGGATAATCTGGCATAGATTGTGCGATAATGTTAAAAACTTTGTTAACAAATTTTACAATATTTTTGGTATATTAAAAATATTGATTATATTATCATAATAAGATACATGAATAAAGAAAGAATCATTATTTTATAATCTTGAAACAGTATCAGAAGATGAGTTGGAAAGTAAACTAAATATATTGTATTGAATAGCTTTGGAAGCTTGAAAACAATTAGTCACCAACTAACTAATTTGATTGGCCAATAGTTATATTTAGATTAGCTAATCAGGCAAATACATTCCAGAAAGAAAATCATTTCAGTGAGATTTCTCACTAGAACTACTAGAACACTAGAAGAATCTGGACATCCAGTAGGATTCCAGCCCTCCAGTGACAACACTGCTTTAACATATTGCAAACTTCAATCTTTACTTCTCACATCTTAAATTTTATACAGATAGATCAATAATTAACTTAGACAATTCTCAATGCTTTATAGATATTGGCTAATACAAGCTGAAAACAATAGAATTCTTAATATATTGCAGGCACAAATCTTACTCTGGCCTTGTTTTTTTTAAAACTAAACTACTTGCAATCTTATCAGCTATTTGCACTGCTCTCAGAAACTGCAATATTCAAATTTTTACAGACTCTCAATTTGTAATTGCTAAATATAATAGCTTAACCCAACAAATAACTAACACTAAGCCTTTAAATACTTCTTACTGGTTTATTTGAAATATACTTCTGAATTTTTTAAATCTTATAATTTAAAAATCACTTTTCATAAAGTCAAAGTACATTATAATAACAAATTTAACAACAAGATTAATAACTTGCTCACAACTACCTCAATTCACCTTATCTTAAATTTAATTCCATCAATATTTATAACCTCTTATATATACAGTATGTTGCAAAAAAAACTAGAAAATTTTTATATAATTTAGATTTATATGATCTAAATTTTTTGTTTTAAATTTTTAATTACTAATTCTTATATAAAATTTAAAAACAAAAGGTATATAATAAATTTTAAACAATTTTTATTTAATATTTTATAATTAAATATTTGGTGAGTATTTATTAAACTTTGTATAACTAGTGTGGCTAGTGTGGCTAATATGGCTAATGTGGCCAATATTTTAATATAATTAATATAACTAAAATAGCTAAAATAGTTAAAATAATTAATATAATTAGCTAGCTAATATATAAATATTAAAAAATTTATATTAAAAAATTTTAGTATATTTAAATATTATACAAATAAAATAAAAGTTTAATCTAGTTTTAGCTAGTTTAGTTGACTTAATAAATGTTAATATAAGTTTTAATTTTAAAAAATTATAATATTATACTATATTTATTTTATCAATTTTTTTAATAAATAAATATCTAGTTATATATTATAAATTGTACAAATTTTATTTAATTTTAATGATACTGCTGCATCACAGTTACACAATTTTTAATTCTAGTTTTTTTGCAACATACTGTATTAAATTATAATAAACAACCTCTTGAACTCTCCATTTGTTACAGTATTCAAACTATTTGTTATGCAAATATCTTTGCTTTTTGGTCATTTTACAACTACTTCCAACCATGGTTAAATATTTCTCAACATATTAACTAGAATTTAACCTGGCTTTATATTAATAATAATCAAAAAGTTTCTAACTTTGTCTACAGCTTCTAGTCCTCTATTCTTAAAATATTTAAAGTCAAGTTACTCATTGATGAATGGCCAGCACCACATACTCTTCACAAACAAAACTTCTATTTCTCTAATACCTGCTACATATGTCAATTAACAAGTATCTCACTTTATTAGGCTATATGCCCTATCTCTAATTTTCTTTATGAACTTATTCAGAATTCACTTCAACATATATTAAACTTTAACAAACTTCAAATTTTCTTAATACAAATTAACTAGCTATATAATCAAATTATCAACCTTGATAGTCTTTAAATACACTACTTTTTATACAAACCCTCTATATTTTCTACTCTTTTTAGACCTATCCCACTTGATATAATAAATAC